ATATATATATCGAGAATTAGAAGTGTGCAATTGAAAAATATACAAAATACATAAAAGATCATATACTAATACAGGAAAATGCAAACTTACATAACGCATGAGTTGGAGAGCATGATTATTATTTCGTTGATTGCTTGTATTCTGTCGGGCGATATTTTTAGCCAATAATTAAAAGCGTGGGCTAATTTCACAGTTATCTGTTTTCCAGGAATTTGAAGATAGTATCTGATCGGTTCCAACAGTTTCTACGAGAAATCATGTAATTTTTTAGTCTTCATGTAATTTTAGTCTTTGATTAATTGTAAGTCACCAAAATTTATTTACTTATCACAAACAAATCAAAGATTTAGAAAAAAAAGAAAAAATCTAATAGAAACACTAACCTCATCTTCCTGCCTGTCGTTGCTCAGAGAGTAATAAAACGGCTTATTCTCATATGTATTCGTCATGTTTGCGATTCGCAGCGATATATCTCTCTCCTGAAAAATCGTAAGATTTCAAAGAGAATAATATTTCGTATATACAATCTTGCAATCAGTTAGAGACACAGACTTTCATCAGACTTTACAGACTTCTATTACACATATATTTTCAGCCTATTCTAGCTTTCTTCAACAGTTAAACCGTCAAATCTTATAATCGAGCTTATGGTTCTCCAATATCTTTTAACAAGTAGCTTTGTAAATTCTCGATATCACAGAAAACCCTTGATACACCATAAATGAAAATAAAAAGATACAAAGAAAAAATATACTAAATTGTATTACTTTATTTCATCTTTCTTGGTATCAAGAGACACGGTAGTATCTCGCCAAATTCATGCGCAGCAGCGAGGCACCCCGTGTATTTATACGCGAGTCGGCTGGTTGACCTTAAATTATCGGACCTCAATAATGGTTGAACCGATTGAATTTTGTATAGGCTTAATCGATAGCTCGGGTCTTATTTATATAAAGAAAACGTCTTTATTATTGTTTTATATGTATCATGAACGAAGTTATTATGTTCCAAAGTCTTAATATACAAATTTTCCTTATTATTGTTATATTATATTATAATTACCGGTAATTTAATACGTCAAAGTATAATATATGTTTGCTAATCGATTTGGTATTATTAATTCGGTGTCATTAATTATTTTTATCATTAATTCGAAGAAGTCTGTTGTTGAATTTACTTTCATCATATCCGAATCCGTATCTATATATTCTATCATATTATCTATAGTTTCATGTTCGCGTATATTCTCACACACACACACACATAATCCGGTGACAAAAGTGCTTAGATATTAGTGGAAACTATGTAGAAAAATGATTTGGGTGTGCGAAGGAAATATGTTGATCGAATAAAAAGTTTTGGAAAAAGTTCGGTTTATATTTGACTGTCCCTCGTATTATATTGTAAACCACTGATAGATGTATGTGTTGCGATGGCGTTTAGACGTTGTCCACTAATTTATACAGATTCTACCCGGTTTTTAGAGCCTTCTTTTTTGATTATCAATTTTAATTAAAAATTTAACTGCAACAATAAATATTGTGTATGTCAAGTTTTAAAATACCAATGTAATTTGTATATATTTATATCTATGCTAAAAATGGATCAAAAATGGTCCGAAACGTATATTTTCAATACATATTTATTACTAAAATTTTCATTCATAAGAGCAAAAACCATTCTCCAAGGCATCAAAGTCATCACGAGGAAGAACGAAACCTTGATTCCTTGGTCGCGAATTGACTCCGGCATGTTGGTATATTAATATTAATCGTGTATGCAAAGGACGCAACGCATATGTCGACGGTAAAAATAATTTCTCAAGATGCAAGATCTAGTCTCACTGACTATCGGCGGAGTAATGAGAAAATTATCTTTAGGAAAAAAAGGTGAGAGGACAAAAAAACGTTACTGCCAACGACAAACAACAGAGCAAAACAATAAGATAAAAAAAAAGGATTTTTTTTTTTTTTATAAATACAAAAGAAACAAAAAATAAAACATTAATAGAGATTAAAATTTTTTAATCTTTTTTAGTTGTATTAATTTTTAATTTTTGTATAAATTTTTAATTTTTTATACTAATTTCTAAATTTTTATTCTTGTAAGGAGATAAAGCGGTCAAGGCGTGTTTTAGAATAATTTAAAAGAATTTATTGGGAATTCACACAACCGTTTACACATCGCGCGCGTTTCTCTTTTTGGTAATTATTCAGAATCACGGCTCCACCTGCAAATGGGCTGCAAATTTTTTTGATAACTTTTTATACTTAGAGAATAATGTAAATAACAATCTTTAATCGGGGAGGCTCAAAAAAAAAGTTTTAGAGCAAAAAGCGGAAAAAACGGGGTAATTAATTCGAATAAGGTCTTTTCTAAATTTTGACAAATATGATCGGATCTCTCGGTAAAACTCTTTGTTGTGACTCCAACAGTGATAATCAGTCGGAGGAGCACGTCCCCCATCACCCCCACCCCCCAAAAAACCGAAAAACCCGGTTCTCCCGAAAAACGGGCTCCCCCGACTGATTATCACTGTTGGAGTTACAACAAAAAGTTTTACCGAGAGATCCGATCATATTTGTCAAAATTCAGAAAAGACCTTATTCGAAATAATTACACTTTTTGGTCTATAACTTTTTTTTGGGGCCTCCCCCAACTAAAAATGGTTATTTATATTTCTTTCTAAACATTAAAAGTCCGTAAAAAAATTTGCAGCCCATTTGCAGATGGAGCCGTGATTCTGAATAATTACCCTCTTTTTTTTTTTAAACTCTCTCCTTTTTCTTGACTGTCTTTTTCTTTTTCCCTGCCTCCTTGCGTCCTACTTGATTAATCACACGTGACGTCACAGCGCATTAACATAAATTAAGCTAGACGTAATTGTTACATTCTTTTATTAATTTTTTTCTTTTTTTTTGTATTATGGAATATATATTTTTTTATATATTTAATATTTAATATTTAATATTTGATACTTTTATTATATTTATATGTATTTCTTAATAACTATGTCGTATTTTTTAATAATCCAACCATATGTCAAAGAAAGAAACAATCGAATATTCTATACATAATTTTAAATCAAATTATGGTTCGTGTAATACAAAAATTTTTTCTTATCTATAATTATATTCATAATTTGATATATAAAAATATAAATAGAATTCTGTCTTGAATTCTGTTGCAAATTATAGATCGTGTAAAGTGGGCTTTTGAGACTAACAATATTGCAAAAATCATATACTAATTTTTGTAATATGATTTAATTTTTAATATTAATTTCACGTTATTTCGAGAAATTCAATACAATTTGTTGGGAAAAATGTTTTTCCCTCATCGAAAGTCAGCATCGAGTATGAAATTAAATCGTATTAGCACCATCTAATCTACCGCTATTTCTAATTTCTAATTAAATAAATAGTCATGATGTAACTATTTAGGACAAAAATCTTGAGAAACTGGTTTTTATATTGGCAGGCATTATCATACCTAATAGGCTCAAGAGCGCTCTCTCTCTCTCTCTCTCTCTCTCTCTCTCTTTAATATATTCAATGTAATTTTATATTTTGATCAAATTATATTTTTCTAGCCTGAGATAACAAATAAGATTGATAAATTTGTTAATGGTACAAATAAACTTGATTAACGTTTTTATTTAATAGATAAATTAATTATAAATAATTTATAAATTTAAGATTCAAAATTTTTATTTGTGCTGACATATTATTGTTTATGTTGTTAGGTTTTATGTTTTATATATATTTCTATATGCTTCTTGCCATGATCGTCTCTTGTTTTAAAATGTTTAGTTTGTTAGTAAATCGCAATAATATCGCAATACTAACAGATATCCTTATGAAAAAACCATGTAGACCAATCGAACCGAACGAGATAAAAATTCGACAGAAATTCGATAGACTTATCGAGTAAGTATGTATTATGACATAACTTTTTAATTGTTATATATAGAATAATAATAAACATATTCTTTGATCTAAAAATTTTACAACTTTGTTAGCAACTGTCTCTTAATAAGATTATTAGAAAAAACAGTGATTATAATAATTAATATTAAGGAGAATATATTAAATATAAATAGCAATTGTAAAAAAGCAAATAAATAGAGAATATAAAATTGCCAATAGTCAATTACAGAGTGAACACGCTGCGTTATGCAATTCTAGTTGAATTTTCAAGCTCATACTCGGCGATACAATCATTGTTCACGGATTATTGGGAAGGGAAGTTAACATTCAGAGCCTGGTTGCCATTCGATTACTCCTCGACAGTACTTTTTCACTTTATGTACTTTCATCAATTGATAGGCTTACTTGTTGGGGCTCTTCTACATGTTGCTTGCGACAGTCTGATATGTGGTTTAATATTGCACATATGCTGTCAATTAGAGATACTGAATTTTCGCTTAAAAAGAGTCATACGTAATCCAAAAATTCTTCGTGACTACATCGTTCAACATAATCTCATGATCAAGTTTGTTTCATATAATTAGTATTTTATTTTATTAGAATTATATATTTTTTTAATTCAAATATGGTTGTAACATAAAATGTAATACGTAATAATATTTTTATTATTAGGCTATAAAAGATAAAATATAAAGAAAATTCTAAAATAATATTGCGATTAACAATTTTGGATGTTAATAATATTTCATTTATAATTTTTCGGAGTACACAATTTTTATTAATATATAGATTTTTTTTAAATTTTTGGTAGAAAACATCACAATCTCTTATGCTTATAGTGAGAATTAAACAATATAATGCATCTAAAATTTATTTTAGGTTTGCCTTTATGGTGAATGAGAAGTTCAGATTAACTATTACCTTTCAATTTATAGTAAGTACATTAGTAGTATGTGTTACTTTATATCAACTGACCAAGACAAATGCAAAAGTCGTTCAATTAGGATTGTACATGTCATGCATGCTGACACAAATCTTTTTATATTGTTGGTATGGGAACGAAGTTAAAATAAAGGTATGCTATTAAAATAAATTTTGCTTTCTATATCTTGGTCAAATATTTTTTCATTTTGTCATATCATATGAATTAGATATTTGTTAATATTTCTTTTATATATTTTATTATTTATATAATTAATATACACTAATATATACGATATTATATCTTGAAACATTTTTCGAGAAGTATTTATACTATATCAAATACGTATAGAAAGGATTAAAATTAATTTGTTTTAGATTAATTTCTTTCTTTCCTTTTTATATTTAAGATTAATATGAAGAAATATTTTGCATTTTTTTGGGATGTAGAGTATACAATTGATCAATAACATATTTGAAATAGAATGGCTTATGCTGGGGGAAGATATAAAGAAAGATTTATTGACAATCACAAGATGCGGTACCATTCCCATCGAATTTACGAGCGCTTATATTTTCCCCATGAATCTCGATTCGTTTGTGGGTGTTAGTATATAATCTATTTTTACAGTGTAATTATATACGCTTCGTATGATACTATTGATTACTGTGTGTAATATAGTTTTAAAATATAAAAAATTACAAACTCGATAAAATTAAGCTTATTAAAATTAAGACAATTTGCTTATTTTAGTTGCTCAAGACATCATATTCGACTTACAACATACTTCAGCAAATGCGAGATGAAAGTGTCGAAGGTGAATAGAAGATTGTTATTTAATATTATTATATCTCTTATCACAGAAATAACGCGATGAAAAGTCACACACAGAGATTAAAATAATATTTTTTCAACATTGTAACAATGCTATGTAATTAATATATTTTACGTCATATAATATTACATATATATATGTATAATATATAATAGGAAAATAATTTAAGTAATAATATCATTTGCATTATATGTTTTTGTACATTATCTTGACTTACATTTCATAGTACATTTGTATCTAAATTGATTTGATTAATATATGTACAAGTACATATATGCAGGATTCTACAGTTTATCCTAACGTAATAATATATGTTAAAACATTTGATTGGAAAATAATCAAATGCAATACAACTATAAACTCCATATTTTTTTCTGACATTCAGTAAAGAAAAAGAAAGAGAGCTAGAAAGATAAAGTACTACATTATTAACGATTATGAAAGATTTATGTTTCTTACTTTTTCAGCTTAGGTTTTTTTAACGTTTAATTTTCCAAAGTATTTTTCTTATGAGTTATTATTATGTCATGATATACTGTATTAAGTCTCCATTTAACGATTGTATTGCTTAGTTGCATAAAAATATTATTATGCGAAAGATACATTCGCAATTTAAATAATAAAAGTCATTGTATATGAAGGGGAGAAGTTGAAGTCGCAAGAGATCGCGAGGCTATAGACATGATCGTTAGTCTCTCTCAAGATTTCACCGTGTGTTATATTGATGTAAAATCGACTTTGTGTCGTTACAGCAGCTAAAACCGTTTTGAAACTAATTGTTGATCGATCGAATTAATTTCCATTTGCAGCTAGAATAAAGTGGGATATGTGTAATTTTGTGTAGCAAATTAATATACACAATAAGTAATTTTGTAAAGTATAACTGCAATTTTATTCGCGCGCGCATTTGAAATCAAGAAGACGAAGAATGTTATATATTCGATAATTTATTTTCCATTGATATTTATTTATCATTTCGTGTAAAAAAATAGAAGGAAAAATAATCAAAGTTAAAATGCGTATATTGGGATTTACGTTCAAAATTTTAATCAGTTGCGGTTGTTGGATACCGAATTCCTGGACCGTTTCATTATACAAACGTTTAATGTACTATGTATATACAATTTTTATACTCTTATTGATAAATACATTTACGTTGTCGCAATTTTTGGATATAATACTGACCGTCGACAATCCGGACGATTTCATGGATAATTTCTACATGCTGCTTGCCATGATCGTTTCTTGTTTTAAAATGTTTAGTCTGTTGATGAATCGCAGCAACATTGCAACGCTAACAGACATTCTAACGAGCAAACCATGCAAACCATTGGAATCAGCCGAAATAGAGATACGACAGAGATTCGATAAACTCATTGAGTAAATATTCCGAAATAATAGCGTTTTAAATGTATCTAAAAATTATATTATTTATATTCTTTATAATTTAAAGATTAACATATTTTTTTTTTTTAAATACACCATTATAACTGTCAGTGATAAAAAATCTTACATTAAATTTTTTTAATATGTGGCAATATTTTTTTGCAATGTGTTGATATTTAATATACTTTGTTTCCCAGAATTATATACTAAAAAACTAAAATTTAGGGATATTATTCGAGCAAACTGTTTTTTAATTAAAACTGCTTTTTATTTAAAACTTTTATGTTTTGAAGAAAAATTAAATTATAATGAAAATATCGAGTTGTTAACGGAATGAAAAACCGCCTGCAGCCATTTTACAGGACAAACACCTTGTATTATATGATTCTGGTTGAATTGACATGTGCATCTACGGCGATAGCGTCATTATTCACGGACTACAAGAAAGAAAAGTTAACTTTCAGAGCGTGGTTACCATTTGACTACTACTCCTCGGCAACGCTTTTTCATTTTACTTATTTTCATCAATTAATTAGTTTGACAGTTGGATCTGTCTTACACGTTGCTTGCGACGGTCTTATTTGCGGATTACTGTTGCATATATGCTGTCAAATAGAAATATTAAGTTATCGTTTGAAGAATATCACACGCAATCCAAAAATACTTCGTGATTGCATCATTCAGCACAATCTTATAATTAAGTTCGTTTTTTATTATTAATATTGTGATAAAAAATTATTTTTTCTACATTTCCCTGTGTAATTATACTTGTATTCTAAATGTATATGTATTTTTCATTAACTTCTTTTCATTTTATATGTATATATGAATATATATGTTATATAGAAATGCTTACTCGATCTTTTGTAATTTTTTATCACTATACGTATTTAATATTTTTATCGAAAATTAAATATAATAAAAAATATTTAATTGATTTTAGATTTGCTCTTTTGTTGAACAAAAAATTCAGGTTTACTATCAGCTTTCAGTTTCTTGTAAGTACATTGGTGGTATGTTTCACTTTATATCAATTGACCAAGACGAGTGGAAAATTCGTCGAATTAGGAATGTATATGTCGTGCATGCTGACACAAATTTTTTTGTATTGCTGGTACGGGAATGAAGTTAAATTGAAGGTATGCGCTTTTGAGAATTTTATGTTTAGTTATATCGTTCACGTATTAATATTTAAATAAATTAAATATCCTAAGCAAAAATATTTCTTTTATTTAGTATAAAATATTTTTTCTGCATTAGAAGTAGATAAAACATTTAAGCGCCGAATATGTAACTTTTTTTTTATATAGGAGTATGAAATTTTAGATCAAAATTAATTCCTGCATCAAAAATAATGTGTATGTTGTAATATCAAAAACTAATCTTTCTATAATTAATCTTTCTATTTTGTTACGATCAAAAGATTAATAAATGTACCCTCGATTTTTGAATATAGAGTCGACAACTAGTCAATGATTTATATAAAATGGAATGGATTACGCTGGAACGAAACATACAAAAGGATTTATTAACAATCACAATACGCAGTAGAGTGCCCATTGAATTTAGCAGCGCCTACGTTATACCAATGAATCTGGATTCATTTGTGGATGTTAGTAGAAAAAAAAAAATATATA